CTTCCACATGCATGTGGAATTGTGACCTATTAATTAGTGTGACATGTTAGGACTCTCATGGGGTTAGAAATTAATCAGACCATATAGTCTATATAGACCAGATAGTACAGAGTACCAGACCTTGCTCTATCTCTACCACAAGCAGCAAGCTTTACCTGTTATGAGCAAACAATTTCTCTCCCTGGCCTGAAATTATGTGTGCCCCTTGAAAATTAATGCATTTCGTGTTGTCATGAACGAGATTTGCTTTCGATCATAAACACAATCTTCAGCCCTCTATTGGAGGGAGACAAGTTGATTGTTCGCCTTTGTCCATGTTCATCAAAATCGTGGTGTGTGGACTAGGGCCCACCCATGGTTGCTACACTCACACAACACTCCGAACCCCCTTGAATCTAATTGTTCCCACTTATTTGGAAAAAAACCATCAACACTTATTGGACTAAGGATAATGAATGATGATCTATTATTGTGGAGATAAATTCTTAAGTGAGACTGCCTTACGCTGCGACCGAAAGTGAGATTCAAATACGAATTCCAATGTCGATTAAGGACAACCCTACACTATGATGGTGCCTGGTTTGAGCAAACAATGCGGGGAGGTTTTGGATAGGTGATTCAGGACTTTATAAGTTGGATGATGCTAGAGGGTGGTCAAGGAGATATGCTTTATGGGTCGGCTCTCATGGTAGAGATAGATGCTATAAGGGTAATTCTGTTTGCTTGTCAACAAGGGGGTTTCTCTCGGATGGTGGTGGAGTCTGATTCCTAAGTTGCCATCAAGATAGTGAAGGGGTAGAGGGCGGTGGCTGTAGAGGTAGATAGTATTCTCTTTGACATCTAGATTGCGATTCAAGAATTTCAGGAAGTAATTTTTATTTTTGCACCTCGCAGTTGCAACAAAGCTGCTCATGAGGTTGCAACTTTTACGTGTAGGGTAGGTGGCAGTTACTATTGGAATTTTGTACCTCCAGATTGATTGTTTAATACCTTAGCTGAAGATGCTAATGTTCGTGTTCGCCTTTAATAAAAGTATTCAATTCTTGGGGAAAAAAAAAGGACAGCTCTACACTAGAGTCTCTCGAATTATGTAATAATTTAATGAGTGCTTTAATAAGATATAGTAGTTGAATTGAATTCAACTATTGTAATTTGTCGGGCACATCGATGGTGAACAAATAACGCTCCCTTGAGTAATATCATACATGCATTTTCACACTTGACCTAGACCTTTAGACCTATCAATTTGGCATAATTTGAGCAACATAGTCCGGTTCATTACATATTAACATTTTAAATTAATAACAAGGTATTGACCTCGAGATTACTACCCTAATGTTATATTGAAATCAATCAGGGACGGGGAGACTAATCAAAAGGCGTGGCCTAATGTGAAACGGACAAGTTTATTGATCACGTCAACTATGTGTCAAATTGATTTAATTAAGCCTGATTAATTAGTATTATTATTGAAAATGTGGCTAAACTAATACATTATTTATTCATATAGAGCATCTGCTGCTGGACAGCCATAGGTTAAGCAAGCGTCACTAATAAATTGACTGCTAATTAATGTTGATAACTTATATGCAAAATGAAACTGGTCACTTTCAGATATTGTTACGCTTAAATTTCTTTGAAAATAGAATCTTAATAAAATAATTATTTTAATATAGCGGATTAATTGGTTTTCCTGCGTCAAACCATTCTACGGTCTTCACACACACACACACACAATATGTTGCTTGATACTTAAAATATCCCCATTAAAAAAGTTTTTAAGTTAATTAATTCACACATATCACAACTGCTAGCACTCAACCACATAGCTAAAAATTTATATGCGCTGACAAATTTTTGTACGTGCCGGAATATGATAAATTTTTCTCGTTAGGTGCATGTATATTCTACCGATTATATACGACTCATTATAAAATGATGAGATCGTACATATTGTGAGAGAGTGAGGATATATGATCGGAGCATAAAATTTTTTTGAGTATTTGATTATATTAGGGAATTTTAAAGGATTCAAATTATTACAGCATTGATCCAAAAAGTGGGCGTCATGATATATGCTAGGCAAATGGAGCAAGAACTACCCCATATATGAAAAGATATCAATCATGCAGCTGTATGCTTTGATGCCAAAGATATGCTATCAACAGCTCGAGAAGCAATTCGCCTTTGCCTAATCAACCTAAATTTTAAAGCTGGTCGGGGCCTTAAACCCAGGAAAATGTCGAGAGCAAAAGAAAATTAAACAGTGACACCTTACGTTTGCGATGATGATGAGTTGTTGTCGTTCATTTGGCTCATGCAATTAAGACAGTTGATGAGAACATATAGAGCCAACGACCATGATCTATCAAACAGTGTTTTGGAGCCTTTCTTTTCCACATAAATTGATAAGGACCACCCTATCCACTGCATTAACTAATTATAATCAACAGATAATTAGGCTAATTAATTGGTTTAAGCATAGCCGCAAGAATCTCCCACTAATGTTTGCTTTGAATTCCCAGACAGAGATATTGACTGGAAAAGAAAGATAAACATATGAAACAAAATGGCTTGGGTTGTGCGAAAACAAAAACACAAAACAACTTGGATGCCTTCTAAGTTTGGATGAGGAAGAACAATCATATGTGCAAATTAAATAAAATGCGTGTGATGTGTTTTCTTGGCTTAATTCATGTTTTAATCCAATAACTGTTTTGGATGGGATGGGATGGAAGGATGCTTGTTTGACTTGTCACTTCTTCTGGGTACTTATAAATTACCATTCCTTAATCAAATAATTAATGCCCCACTTGCCAATAATTGAGAGATAAAACAGAAAAGAATGTAGGTTTATGTGCATATTATTATGTCGAAATTTTAATTTATAAGTTAATAGGTTGGGTTTAAATTAATCATCGTTGTTAATTAGTTTTGGGTTTTTAGGGCGGGTATGGACCACCTTTAGGTATATGGGGAATATGTGTGTTTCAGTCCGATTGAGATGCTTGTGATATAATCTCGCAAGTGCTTTTTGGTGTGTCGCTTTATACCATACTCAAATAGAAAGTTTATATCAAAAGGAAGGACAAAACTTGTGTCACGAGGATTTTCCAAATAATTTAAACTTCGCTTTCTGTTCAAATCAAATCAACTCATAATGCACATGATTAGTTGCTTGAGGTTCAAAACAACGGATAATAAATATGTGATGATCCTCCTCATGTGCTTTGCAAAGCAATGCGTAAGACAAATGTAAAGGGTAGTACTAGTACTAGCATGCATGTGATTAATTTGATCTATGAGCTGAATTATGATTAGGACTTGTGATCAGTACCTAAATCAATCAATAATCCGTACGAACTAATATAATCTTGAGTTCAACTTCTATGTTTTCTTGCGTAATTATTGAGTACGGCACCGGTTTGGATTTATGGTTGAGAGGCTTTAGTCACTAACCGCCATGCTAATTAGGATGCAGGACAATGTTAGACGCGGTGGCGAATAATTTGTTGGCTAATTGCTCAGTTGGTGACCTTGCTTATTCATGATATCAAATCCACCCTGATCATGAAGCATATCCAACAAATCTTGCATACAAATCATACGGAAAAGTGCTTGTAATTTTCCAGTGTTGGCATTGTACAATTTGAACAGAAAGATTCTACTCTTCTCCATTGATTTGATAATATATGGCTGGGCTGTCTTATTGCGATGGTGAAGGTTGATAGATAAGCATGTTTTTTAGTTTTACGAATATAATCATTCAATTATGCTTTAGATCGAGTCTTTTTTTTTTTCAAACAGTGAGCAGTAATTAAAATCTTTTCTGAGAAAAAAAAAAATCTTTGTTCTCTGTTACTATACACACAAAATATCCCTGGCATTGTTAAAGTTAAAGGCATGATCTGCTGACCAACTAGCTCTGAGCTAGTGATAACTCTGCTCTCAAGTTCGAATCCCTCTCCCACGAGAGTCACGACTGATTAAAAATAAAAAGGCAGAATCTGTTAAACTTATTTGAACAAGAACTTCCCATATAAGAGGCATCCAAGCCACCTATGCCAGAAATCCCACTATGGTAAGACGAATGTGCAGTGAATTTGCTTTATGTAATCTTTCAACTTTGATAAGCCCATTTTCTATTTATTTTGTTTTTATTGGTACACCACCAAGGGCTGCTGAGGCCCAAAGCCCTAAAGAAAACTTAGGACTGCAAATTCCCAAACAGTCTGAAAGCCCATAAATGTTCAGTTCATCAGCAGTAAATAACACTATTTCTCTTTTCTTGGTAAGAAGCAAAACAATTCCAAGATCCAAGGCCCTTTCTCTTTTCTTGGTAAATTCCAAGATCCAAGACTTTTTTGTTTTGGTAAATTCCAACATCCAATACTTTAGTGACTGAGAGGTTATACATTCCAGATATAACTCAAATCTTGACTTCTGATTTTATGGTTGTTTCCATGTGGTTGCAAAGATCAGAGATGGAAGGCAAAAGGAGAGGTAAAATTAGAATTACCAAGGCCATTTAACATTTTTATTAGTACTTTGGCTATTTTACCATAGCCTTGCTATCTAAGAATAGCTAAAAAAAATTTGAGGGAAACAAAAAGTACCTGAAATTTAAACTGTGGACACAAGAACACGAATGAGGCAAATTATTCCATTAATCCAAATGACCACACCTAAGATCTATTTGTTTAATCAAAGTATAGGAAACAACAACTAAATTAAAGGTGAAGAGGTAAATGCTTTTACAAAGGTCACTGCAATAGGATGAAGCAATGCTTTGGCAAGTCGATAAATTCCAAGCACACACAAGAAATACAGATATGTAAAAGGGTAGTACAACATATTCAAAAAGAAAAGTAATAACTTAAATTCCCTTATTACCACTTGAGTGATAGAATGTCTAAGTCTCAGTTTAAAGTTCCATACGGATGGATGATTGAACTACTTCTTCTTCCCGTAGTATTGCAGAGCAAATGCAGCCCCCAAGATCAACAAGGGCAGCAGAAACTGTAAAAGCTTACCACAAATCCAGAAGATTGCCCAGATGGAGGAGTTGTTTGAGCAGGAAGCTTGTAATTTGGCTGTTCTGGTATGGTGGATGTGTCAACCTTGCCTACATAAAATTTTTCCATCTGCTCCTTCGCAGAATCACTGTGGCCCACATCATTAAAATCATCTGTTGCATCTTTCTCTGCAAGATGTTCAACCAAAGTTCTATTCACCGCACATAATGTTCTCGTACTCTAGAACCAGTAACAATCACAAAGATAAAAGATAGATTGCTAAGCTGAAGTGCACAATCTTACCGACTGCTAATAGCAACACTTCATCGCCCCCAGGGTGATCCTCCAAAAAAGGGGTGACATCATAAACCTGTGGAAAATTGTTCAAGATACATTAGTCAGCAATGCTGCTAAATAAATGTGGTAGATGAACGGATCTGAGTAAAAAAAGGAACCATTTAAGTTACCAGATAGAAGACTTTGCTAAAATATCTGTCGAATTTGTGTAGGATCAACAGAGCAATAAAGAGAGGGACCTTCTAGGTAGGAAGCAAATTAATAGGCTTATATAACATAGGTCAGTAGATTCACTACCAGGAACAGGTTTTCTTATCCTTTTATAATCTTTTTTTGGTGTAAAACAAATTTAGGAAAGAGAGCAGAGAAATTCAACAGAAATCCCAACGACCTGCGTTACTGTTCTCTGAATACAATTGTGATGGCAGATACTATTTTATTTCATTGTTCTGCAGTCGTGAAAGTTGCTTTGTAGTGTAACAATTATTTATATACCGTTGGAGATTACAATTGTCTGCTTTAATTAGCGAGTCAATGGTTATTTCAAATAGAAAAAAACCTTCATAATTAAACGCCTTAAGTCCAACTACTTTCCCTAATGGCACATTGAGCACCATGCTAAAGTAAACAACATATTTCAACACTTGCTTAGTCTCCACTACCTTAGGACCAGCAGACATAGAGAGACCCCAATTAACAAACTTAAGCACTTTTCAAAATGTTTCGTGTTCATAAGTCGAAGAAACTAATTGATTCTGCATTTATCTGTGGTCATGCATTGAATATGTCTATCACACACAACACTTAATCAGTACAAATTAGTATTGTAGCCCTTCTCCTCCATTCCATCCTACTTATGTTGCCGATGATTAAATTATATTGACACCAAAAAACAGAGCAACAATCATACACACACAAACTACACAGAAAACGCAAGGTGCAACTCAATCCTTCAAACAACATTACCATTTAACAACCTATGATTAAAGTTAAACCTATCAAACATAACAGCATATTGCAAGTGTTCAGCAGCAGGCATCCTTTGCACTGATATGTTAATTCACTATAGCTTTTAAAGATATGTGTTCCCTTTTCCTCCCTCCTTTTTGTTTCAATTCCCCTTTATACCTTCAATTAGATCTATAAACTCCTCTACTCAATGCTAAAGTAACTCTCACACATAGCAAAACGGGTGGCAGCAAAAGACTTTGCCTTAAACCAACAGATAAATCATAAATCATAAATCATATATCACAAATCACAAATCAACCCAGAAACTGAATTAATTCAGATACATACACAGGTATTAATACATTTGCAATAAAATGAGAATCAAAGGGGAAAAGAAAACAAAGAAAAAGACTACAAATCTGACCTTTCCAGAGATTATGATCCAGCAATCTTTCTTGTGGTTGTGCTTGGCCACCTCATCGAAATGATAAACTTGAGAATCTGAAGCCATTTCTGCAGCTGCCTCTGTTCATCACAAAGTCAAACCCCATCAACACCAAACCAAAAAATGGTGAAAACCCAACAAAAATAATTAAAAATACAGAAACTTTAAAGCTAGATTTGATCCATAAGTTACCAAAGTAAAAAGCTTGATGAGGAAATCAACAAAAAAGTGATAGAGAAGTCATGCTTCTTTTCTTACATAGGAGAGAAGAAGAAGAAGATGTTGGGCTTTGAAGCACAGCTCCTCTTTGAGTTGAGTAACTTGTCTTACTCTTGACCTGTCCTCAATATGCTGACCTTTTATTATATGAGTAGCTAGTTTAGTAACTATATATAATATTTTCTGTACCTAAAAAAAAACTATATATAATATTTTGCCTCAACCCAGATTCGTACTTAGTATTAAATTGACCCACCAACCAAGTTCTTTAATTTACTCTCTAATTCCCTGTGTTGTTGTATTGCTATTGTCAAACTTTCACACCCCTCTCTCTCGGTCTCTCTCTTTGGTCCAAGTTGGCTCCTAATTTTAAAATGTTTTTTTTCCCAAACTTTTTCATATCATTCAATAAAATACACTCATGGAGTTATTTTCCTTGCAATATAGATTAATCAGCTGTTTGTCCACCACAGGCATAATTCTTTGATTTTAGCATAAATTTAGTGTGAGCCTGCCAATTTTTTATTTTTTTATTTTTTTTGGGTCAAAGAGCCTGCCTTTATGATTGGGGGCTGCTATGCTATATATGCAGCTAAAATCAATTGATCAAAAGAGTAATTTTTTGTTTTTTGTTTGTTTGAAAATTGGTGTATTAATTAGTCAATCTTTGGAAGCACTTTAATTTAAACCCCTATATTCTTGGAGGAAAAAGAAGGCTTCCCCTTCCCCCTCATATTATTTTGGATTCACTATTTTCTTAAAAGGATTGTCAGTTGAACAGAATCTAATGGTTACTTTTCTTCTAATTTAAACTGCTTGTTTTCTCAACCAAAGAAAAACAAACTTGATGAAGCAGTCGAAAATGATAGCTGATGGTGGGGGGGGGTTTTTCTAAATTTTCTAGTACTATGGGCTTTCGGTGGAATTAAATTAATCCCTTGAGGATGGGCCAAAGTTGCCAAATTGGTCTGCCTCATCCTAGATCCAACTAGAGGGTGCTTAGAGTGAAAATTAATGCCGATTTTATAGGTAATCGAATATGAAAATTAATCCTTTCAATTATCCACATCAAAAGCGTTTGATGTGAAACAAAACCAAACCATTAATTCATGCCGCGAAAGGAGGAAAAAAAAAAAGGGAAAGTAGATAATCAGATATGATTGATGAGACAAGAAACCAAAAAAAATAAAAAATAAAAAAAGAGAAAAAAACATAACATGATTATTAATAATTGTTACAAAAAAAAAGTGGTTTATTCTAAACAAATTGAGCCCAAGTTTGTTGTTGCAAAGTACGTGCTAATGTTGGGATAATTTTGGTAATTAAAATAGATAATGCATCAAAATGCCAAGACACAATCATAGCCTATATATCCGACAAAATAACTTTGCTTCATATTGATTAAAACTAAAGCCAAAAACAATTAACAAAATCACAGATGATCAAAGCCAGAGTCACATGGTTCAACAACAGTTACATACACGTAAAAAAAAACCCTAATTAATCAACATATTGTCCTTGAAATAGTTATTTTTATAGCAATCACAAAAACCCTTTAATTCCCAGGAGACCTCCAGGCCATGATTCAGTGCACACAAGGGGCACCTGCAAAAAGATGAGAGCAAACAAATACTTGTGAGGTTGTGTTCACATTCCCATACATGAGAAAACCCAAGACATATGGTTTTGACTTGATCGAACTACAACCGTTGGATGACCACCTTATGATAAAAAGTGATCGGAAATGAACACTTTCCTAATTGGACTTATCCTTGATGTAATTTTGTACAAGAGGACCCATTACCAGTACGAAATGATTACATGGAAAGCGCATGACACTGGTATAGCTTGCTTGCTGTGTGCGAAACCAGACTGGACCATGCACATCACGGAGTAAAGTTCTCTTATGAGACCTATATTGTTTTTATATATATGTTTATATTATCAGATTGTGAATTCAGAATACGAATTTAAGCAATCTAATCAGTAGTTCATATTCATAATTTAGCAACGTATGATCTTGATAGAGTGTTCCTTTTTCTTTCTTGGGCAATGAAGTTTTCAAAATGCAGAAATCCAAGTTTAGTAAGTGCATCTAGGAGTGTATATCTCTAAAATATATCTCGTATGGCATTGCAGGTCACATAAACAAAAAAAAAAAAAAAAAAAAAAAAAAAAAAAAAAAAAAAAAAAGGTGGGGATGAGCACAGATGAAATGAGAATTGACTGTTACTAGTGCATTAAGTTTAAGTGCCTATTTTGGCCATCCACGTTTGTTATGAGGTCGCACATCAAAGGACATGCAAATATGTAGTGCTGGAAGATCAAAGTACTATTGGGTCCAAAATGTTAGAGCACTCTGAAACAATATTTTACATGCATGGTCATGCTGATGGGTTAGGATAATTGCCCAATGATTGGATCAAGATTTGACAAATTAGCTCCACTATGGCATTTGAGCTTTATAATGAAAAAGATAATTATACCCTTTTATATTATCTACTATTCATTCTCTTTTCAATGTTTTGCTATGTTAACGTCTCTTGTGCTTTTAGACTTTAATACTATGTCAAATTATAAGATGAAAGGTTAAAACGTAAAATTTAACTCACAAAAAAAGTACATATCTATTCTAGTTTTAGTATTGAGGGTCATTATTAGTGTGGGAACGTATGCCGTCTTTGAATGATAGAGAGTGGTATGTACCTTGAATTGGAAGCAAAGAAACCGATTCATAAGCATCATTTTCGACATTGGAGATGAGCTCTACTGCACTGGGCTGCTTCTGGCCATCTGATTTGTGAATCTTGACTTCAAGCTCAGCTGGATGGATCTTCCTCTTCAACATCCTCCTCATCAGCTATGACATTACAGATCAGGTACTCATTCAGTGAACTATGAAAAACAAGACCATGACAGTGATATGACTCTCTCCACAGTAATTATACCTTGCTAAAACTACAGAAATGTACCGTTATTAAATTACTAGCTAATAAGTGCGCGCCCTTCCTAAATTAATTAGGAAAAGTAATGTGCATCACATGCGATATCAACCCTAATCACATATGATACTGTAAATTTAGACTGCTCATTCAGACAATGATTAGACTTCAAAGTGTTCTTATGTTGCCAGTTTGATAACATAACATGTTCCGATATGATATGCTTACGGAGGAAGGTGACTTGGGGATGAATAAAAGATAGAAAATAAAGCATTTAACTACTCACTCGTTGCATATTTTTGATTGGACTTGAATCATCTTTGACGCGAGGGATGAGTTTCTTGGCAAATGCTAGGCCACTCCTTGTTCTGGCATTCATTTTTTTCTCCATTTCTGGCCGGACCTTGCCAGAGTCAAGCTTCAGTTGACCAACATCAGGAACATCAGCCTGGAACAAGTCAGCCAGTGTAATTCTCTGACCTTTCTTATTCTTGTTCTGATCATTAGCACTCTGATCAGGTTTAGTACTGATTTCACTGGACCCCTCAAATGGAGTAAGAGGAACACCATCAACGGTCAGGATCACATCAGCTGGTTTCTCAACAATGGCATCAAAATTTGACCCAATATCCTCAAAGCTGTGTTCAAATGTTGTAAACATTAAAGGGTTCAGTTCTTCATCTTCAACACTATGATCATAATGTTCATCATCATCATCATCATCATCATTACCACTGTGTGAAAATCCATGGCTTTCCTGATCGTCTTCTTCGCTCTCCAGAACGAAATATTCGTTTTGGTGGGTAAAGGGTTTTAGGGGGTCAAAACCAAAGGTGCCTATAGTTAAAATGCCATCCCTCCAACCATCAAGCCCATCCACATTAACAAGGCCAACTTGTTTGAGAAATGCTTGTGTGTCCTTGTCATTGGTTTCCAGTTCACTCTTTTTCACATTCCCAGCAAACCCATCTGAGGAAACCAATAAAAAAATAAATTAAAGAAATTCATGAATAAAAAAGTGACAAATATTTGGTACATTCAACTTGGAATAAACAATCAAAATAATCTCAAATTAAAAGGTGAAAATTTTATAATTTGATATATGAAGAGAGAGAGAGTTCAGAAATAAGACCCTTGACGACCCTTTGATGAAGCCTCTTATGAACCCAGTTGAAGATCTATGTGGAGAATGAAATAAGATCAATTAGTGACTACAATATAAAATAAAATAAAAACCCTAAATATAATGTGCCTGGTTCTAACCTTCATATTTTGTGAGCAATTGCGAATTATCAAAGAACTGGTGGTACAAGTAGAAAGCAATGAGGAATAGCAAAGCTAGCCCCAGTGAGTGAAACACTGAAACTGAAGGGGATGATTATGGAGTTGAAGACACTAAAAGGAGGGGGCCAAGTGGGTTGGAGAATCAGATCATGACATGTGTCCAGGGTAGGGCCCTAAGATATAGCTTTTTTTTTGGGTGCATGGCATATGTTTGACGAGCCACGGTGTTGGGTCTTTGTGGCATGATCGATGTGCCGAAATTCTTGATATGATGTTTTTACCCTCCCAGCTCTACCAGCTCCCATGTTGCTTTAGGTAAAAACACAAAGATACTTGGGCCTCTTTGGTATCTTATTTGAATCCAATTTTATAAATTCAAAAACAAATTTTAAGTTCAAACCACAAAAACCCGTTTGGTAGACCTATTTTCAAAAACTCAAACTCAAGAATAACTTCAAAACACCCCATTTTTAAAAACAAAAAAAGTGAGATGTTATATTTCTCTCTCTCTCTCTCTCCTTTTCTTGTTAATTTCAATTTGGGAATTTAGGTCTTCTGATTTTCTAATTTTAATTTCAATTTTTTTAGATCATTAAAATATATACAAATTTATAAATAAACTCAATTCTATACATGTATTTATAAAAAAACCCAAGCACTATTTAAACATAGAAACACACCCAAAATCAACCCCAAAATCAACAATTGTATATTTTTTGGGTGTGTTTATAAATGGATTTTGAGTATGTGTAATGATGGGTTTTGGGTGTGTTTATAAAGTGTTTTGGGTGTTGGGTTTTTTTTATAATTTCAGCCCCCATTTTGGGTGTTTTAGTGAAACTCCCTAAAATATAATACCAAACAAGTTTTTAGATATTAAAACACTATTTGAAAACTCATGTTTTTAAAATAAATCATAATTTTTGAATTTGCTTTTTTGAGTATGATACCAAACAGAGCCTTATTTGTCTTCTGATAATAAAAGAAAAAAAAATTATGTATTTTCATCTATACTATATTTATATCTATCTATAATATATATTTCGATGAGCTTCGATTATTAAATGGGTGATATGGGTTGCGTTGTTGTTATTAAAATGTCATGTTTGTGTTAGGATTTCAACACAATTAACTAAACGGGTCATGTTTGTGTCGACCCACACTTAATGTAATATCCATAACTCAAAATCACATGATCCACCAATATAAATTAGCACTCCTATACGTATAATACAAGTCATGAAAGATACTAGGAAAAGAGAAGGAGGAGATGTGGAAGAGCCAAAAGTGAAATTGTATAATTTTTTCTTCAAAGATATATGATAGACCAAAATGCTAGAGTGAATGAGACAACACCAGTAACTACCAATGGGGTGTTAGTTGAATTGGCTCAGGTTTTTGGTGTGTTCTCAAGGGGTCATAAATTGGATGATGAGGAACTAGGACAAGGTGCTTGCTTGCATCACATAATTAGCAACCTATTCATGTGTAGTTATTCATTTTTGTCATATAAAAGTTTTCAATTTTGTTATTCATTACTTTAATTTAAAAACATAAAGAACCATTTCACAGCATTAATGGTTCCATATAGCTGCTATACATCTCATCTTTTCTCACATAATATTTTTCGGCTTCAATTTTTTCTGGTCTCGCCATGCATCAAGAGAAAAGAACCATTAATGCTATAAAAAAAGAAAGAGAAAAGAACCACGACAGTTATGTGAAAATTCCATTAATATATTTATCAGAAGCTTTCCATTTAAACCAGAAACAATTAATTAAAGTTTCAATCAAATAATGTGATCAGATCGATTATAATCAAGTTCATGGTACCAAACACTAGCCAGCACACATTGCTGGGAAAACGACCTATGCATGCATATGGCAGGATATACTAATACTAAAGCCATAAAATTTGGGCTTTGGTTGGGATAGAGGAACATTAATTAAGCTCTCAAAGATGAAAGACTTACGCCAAACCAAGCTTTTTTCTCTTTCTTCAGTCTCATGATCGATCATATCATCTCGTAGGAGACTTTTGTGGTATGGCATTGGCAACTAAAACTATCCCTATGGCCATGTGAGACTTCTATGATTGGTGGGGTGCTAGCTACCATTATTCGTTTTTTCTTTTTCTTTTTTCCTTTTCTTTTTTATGACCTTTCTTTTTCTGACCAAATTTGTTGGAGAAAGTCACTTCCCTCCCATCTCACCTTGGACAAAGGAAGAAGGTGAATATATCCTCAGGTTGGTTCAGGTGTGTTGCTTTTGCCAATACAGGTTCCACCTTGAGGCTAACTTTTCAGGTGGGTTACTTTCTGTAGTGCTTGCCTGCCTGCCTTCATGTTTGCCTTTGTGGCTTGAAAGTTCTCTTTGTTTTTGCATTTTAGCGGTCTCAAAAGTCTCCCTTTTGAGAACTCCAGTTGATGGGACTGCCTAGCCATTTTGGATTTGACCATGTGCCTTTTATTTGCTCTAACATCAAGTATAATCCCAGCCTTAATCAAAGTTAAATTAAGATTAGGTTTAAAGTTAACTTGTAAAAACTACCTCTGGATCATATAATTAATGAAACTCATGGTTATTATTGAATTGGTGGTATCTTGCTCATGTGGAAGGAAATGCATATGGAAATTTGCAAGTTGGCCAGCTAACTCATTCTCTGGACAAATCAGACATTCAAAATTGGAATGTTCTATGAGTGTGAAAGCTAATTAGCTGGAACATAACAGGCCTGGTCTGGTTGCACACCAAAAGGGTCTAGCCAAAGGGAAACAGAGACATAGAAGAATTAGATGAGTTCTACTGATAGCAGTCTTATTTGGGGCTTAGCAACTTGTCTGGTTGCACCAAAGGCTACAAGCCTAAAACCATTTTCGGATGGTAGCAAAGAGTAGCATTGGCTTTCTTGGTCGTTGAGTGCTCCTTAAAGCCACTTAAATTGCTTCGGATTCTTCCTCAAGCAAGCCCGTGATTTTATCTTTCAAATGTGGGGTTGGGACAGCTTTGGTCCTACTCTTTCTACCTGATTACAAAATGACATCTTTTCTCATAACAAAGGAAACTGAAAAAATGTGTTTCATCTTCGGATTGTATATGCATCCATTAATGCATGACCAGGCACATCCATTAATCGCAAATATGGTGAAGTTGGCTCGAGCAGATGTGCTCATCACTCTGCATCCTAGTTTGAATCCCCCTATTCATAATTTAGATTAGTTTAAAGTAGAATATTGATGGTTTAAAAAAAAACATTTATGTTGAGGGGGATTCATTATAAGTCATCCTATTAAAAATATAATTGACTTAACAGCTCATAAATATTTAAGATGATACTGGGGGACTTCATATCACAGATGATTAGCCCCCAAGCTCTTCTGGTCACATGGTTAATTTGAACAACCATGTTAATCCATGCATGACTGGCCAAACCCATCACTACTTTAACTTATTTGGGACAACATGGGTATCCATTTTAGGTGTCCTATTTCTAGCCTCTAGTTGTGCCTCTTAGAAGGTCCCTTTCTGATCGATAGAACATTTAGAGGAGGAAAAAGCCAGTGGGTGTTTACCTCAGTGGTTGAGGTCTTTGTTTGCAAACAGGGCCGGTCTGGTTGTTTTTGTTATATTTACTTGTATATATAGTTTTTCTTTCCAAGCCAGTGGGTGTTAAAAAAGAGTAAAAATGTAAAAATACAACTATTGAATGACAAAATCCATACTCGAACACGAGTTACTTACTTAAATTGAGGTGCTGAAAACCAACTCAACTAAATACACTTTTGTGTTATTATTTTGCACTCTCAAGTATATATATAATATACACGTTAAAAAATTTCAGTGTCTTTAAAAATTAGGAGCCTTGTGCGGTGGCATCACTTGCACACCTGTTTGGGCCTAAAAATTCTATGGTTCTCAAGGCAGTGGGGAACTTTGCCCTTCCATCATAGAAGTAAACGCGAAACAGGTGAACAACACCCTTAGGGCCGCTCCTGTTTGCAAACCCCTGGCACCAGTTCAAATCCCCTTGTGTGTGCCCCCTTCCCCTTAGAATGGAATATTGATCGAATACAAAAATTAAAAAAATAAATAAAGAGGAGGAAAAAATCTGCTTAATTTTAGCACTTTTCTTTTTCATGGTGCTCTCTCAAAAGTGCTTTCCATGATTAATATTTAAGTTGGACCATGAATGGTCAAAAAGATTGTGCATCATATTCTCATTATTGCAGTTCGGTGTTTGAGGTGGGCGTTACTTGGCAAATCCTGCCCCTGTTTATCTCCAGGATGATTTTTGCTTTACAGAAGAGGAATAGGACATGGCCACTAGCCTGGCCAGAACCGAAAAACTGTTTCAGAACCAGAAATTGTGGTTAGCTAGGCCCATCAAATTGATGCCTCATATCTGTCATCCAATGCCACATGCAAGCATGCAAGGCTTTACACAGCACACAGACCCACTGAACTGAAAGAACTTTGGAGACTATAGTTTAGTTTGCAGGCTAAATACATGAATGTATAGAGCAAGTATACAAACATATTGGCTCATTTCTGTTGGCTTATCTATGCATGGAGAATTTAGTGGGATCCATGCAAGTATAAAATGAAAAAGGAAATATAGATTTGTAGGCTCAATGTTCTGTACAATTATACTTCATACATGTAGGTGGTGCCTTGGTGGTCTCCTTATCACCTCATTTGTACTCCCATCTCATTTTAATATGATAAAGTAAATTCAACAAATATCTACTTATTTGGATTGGTGTTGAATGATAGAAAACTTGTGTGAAACGTGGATAATAATAGTGCTATTCCCAGCAATTATGATTTGGAAGTGGAAAAGTTATCACTCGTGACATAGTGTGATTGGTTAGAAATAACAAAACAATGTTATTTCCGTTCCATACATTCTCGAGGACAAACATAAATATATGGCCCAAATCGTCACTTAGATTGATGGGAGCATTTATAATGACGGGTAACAATCCACTAGCCCAATAATAACTATACACTAGATCAGATGGCTGTTAAGGACCCCTCATTATAAACCCTTACTTTTACCTCTCATTCTAGCCTCTCTGTAGATTCAGAATACCTAACATGAACACAAGAAGAATGCCCAAGATGAAGCCCAACTATTTTGCCAACTGGGCTTTTCAAGTTACAATGCTAAGCTACGCTGTGCAATGTCCAATCTCAGCTACAACTTTGGTTTGGGATGCAAGTCTTCGGCCTCTCAACCCTTGCTGTCAAGAATCCAGTCTTTCCTTTCCTTTGGGATGATGTTGTAGGGGTCACTAGACCACTTTGCTTGTTGTGCCTGATTCTCTGTTTTGAGCCTTGGCCCCATCGGAGCCCAAAACAAAAAAGTACATAACTTTTGAATTCTCAATCCACAGCCCACATTCATATGTTTTTTTTTCCTTCTTCTGGGTTTCTTGTTCTCCTCCCTTGAACACCAAGATCAAAATCAAGCAACTATATTGCCACTCAAAACATGTTCACAAAATTTCATTTACCTAAATAATACTGAAATCTCATCAAATAATCAATGACAGGAGATGGTCAAAATTTGTACTACTGCGATTAAAAAACTGATTGATAGGAAATGATAGAATGCATAGAAAGTGAATGCGGTAGGAAATGATACAAATTTCTTTTACACTGGTAGTAATGGGGCCACAGCCCCTTTTATTATCAAACAAAGGCATTAACAATCTTCAGTCACACCCCTACAAAGAGTGGAAGCTGACCATGAAGAATCAGAACCCAATGCCCTCTTTTCCAACACTCACATTCACCACTCCCATTTTATTTTTATGATCACAAATTATATAGTATGCCTAATATATTCAAAACACAACAAAAGTAATGTCTTGACACTTGAATTTTAGTTTCCTTTTTATCTCTGATCATTTCTCTGCCTAACTGTGGCGGCCATTGACAAGGCTCTTGGCCTCAAATCCATCCCCACCGGGCTTCCTAGAGAAAGCAAGGTGGACCCCAGGATCATGGTGAGTGAGGGAAGTGTTGTAGACAATGGAGTTGTTGATGCCTTGAACATTGCTGTTCATGAATGCCCTTGTAGGCTGTGCTGATGCTGAGTTCCCTGCAGCCTTCCCTGCTTTGAGACTTTTGTCCTTACTTTTGCTCTTGCCTTTGCCTTCCTCACCACTGCTGCTGCTGCTGCTGCTGCTATTGTTCTGATCAGATTGACTCCCAGTCACCGTTTTTCCATTGCCTTTCTTGCAAAGATACTGAGATTGCTCCCCAAGTCCATGTTTCTGAGGATATTGTTTGAGTTCCATGAAAGCTCCTTTGTTTTCCCCTGCAATGGTTATGACCCTCATGCCTCCTGCCTCATGATCAGAGGTGTCTGATGCAGGCTTCTTGCGAGCTATAGCTCTCTCTTTGGTTTCTCCTTCATGCTTTGAACTGTGGACATTGATGCTTGGCTTGGCAGACTCGCGTAAGTCAGTGCCTTTCGAGTTGCCAAGGCCGAACCAGGAACTGGGTTTTGGATGATCAATGGTCTTTTGTTGGACCAGCACTGTTTTCTGCTCTGCCTCCATGGGAATCCTGGGTTGCTCAGTTTGGTCTGAAGTGCTGGGCTTTAGCTGAGAGGGTGGGAGGGTGAAAGGAGAGGGTGGTGGGGCAAGTTGCTTGATCTTTGGCGACTGAGGTGGGGTCTTAATGGTTCTGGGAGATGGGGCAATATAAGTAGGCTCCCTAGCAGTGGCTGAAATGGTGGTGGCTGTCGGTTTTGGTGGAGAATAAGTTTGTGGTGGCTGTGGTTTAGATTCTGGAGGAGACTTTGCAGGGGCTGAAAAGATGGTGGGTTTTGGTGGAGAAGTAGTAGTAGTTTGTGGTTTATAGGCTGGAGAACTTGGCACTGAATCAGTAGTAGAAGTTAAAGCATTAGTGACCTTGTTCCTATCAGGAGATGGTGCCACTGTAGAAGATGGGGCCATACCAACCTTGATTCTAGGAGATGATGGCACTGAAGAAGATGCTGCTTTTGGTGATGGTGGAACTGATGCAGTAGTACTAGTCGCAGGAGGAGGTGGTGCTGGAGTTACTGCAGGTGGTGATGGCCGACGCATAAGAACGGCAGTAGGAGGCGGTGGAGCAGCAGCGGCAGGAGGTGGTGGTGGCTGAGCAGCGACGGCAGGAAGTGGTGGTGGCGGAGCAGCGACGGCAGGAGGTGGTGGTGGTGGAGCAGCGACGGCAGGAGGTGGTGGTGGTGGAGCAGCGACGGCAGGAGGTGGTGGTGGCGGAGCAGTGGCTGCAGGAGGTGGTGGCGGAGCTGTGGTGGTGGGTGGTGAAGTTGGGGTTGGAGCTGGTGGTGGAGTTGGGGTTGGTTCAGGAGTAGGAGTCAATGGCCTGAATGCAGGTCTAACCACGGGTGCCGGGGCAGGGGCAGGGGCAGGGGCAGGGGCAGGGGCAGGGGTGGCCGGACGGACCATGGAGCCTAGCCGAAACCATGGACGGGGAGGTTGGGTTGCCATAGGTAATCACAAGGAGAACAAAGTTGGAGAGGGTTTTTAGCTCTAGTATGGTATGCGACACAACCAAAATGAGAACTAGAGGTAATGAAGAGACATAGAAATTGGACAATGAGAATGAGGTGAAGTGTGGATTGTTATTTATAGGTGTGACAAATTTATGCAAAAGCAACTTAAGATTTGACAGAAATATTAGGGGGGACATTAAAAAGAGAAAGAAAAACAATAAGAAACACGCTGAGAGAAGAAAGATGGAGAGAAGAAAGAAAGGCATCAGATGCAGCAGAGCACTTGAAGTTCAGCTCTTTAGAGAATGAAAAAAGCACGCAAATATTAATTTGACGATGCAAGATTGGTATCAAATGGAGTCATATTGAAGAGTTGTGTGTTGCTGAGCCTATGATGGGATGACCTTGTTTTCTCATTTGGGGTATTCTTTGAACCAAAGACAATATCTGCAACGTCGGCATTTGCATGCAGTAACTTTCACTTTTTAGAGCACCAATCGTTTACAATATTTGAAAAATATTGGACAGCTAATTGGGAAGAATAGCATCCCTCTTTGCAGTGAATCATTATTTTTCAACCCACTATAAAAATTGACAACTTTAACTCTTGCAAGGATACCATTTCTATAGCAGTCTGTAAATTTGGAATTATGATGTTTAACATGCAAATTTTTTTATTAGAGTGTGCTATAATTGGACTTCCCAAATGGCTCGTGGACTACTCTAAGAGAGTGCAAATAGTACTATATTCGCGAGTGAATATATCATTAGTAGCTTCCTAATTTGTATGACAAGGGTTTCACTAGTGACAGTCGCCGGCGCGTGTGCCCACACCAATCGACTCCTCAGCTTTCCTCTTAACATCTAAACATCTAAGCTCTTGATGTCACGTTGTTCACCTGTCATTTTCACAATTTTCTTAGATGCAGTTTGTCGAGTGTGCAAATGGCGGCTCTCTTGGAACATTTCACAGTGCCCATCAGAGTTGTTTACAACGTTAAATGGGCTGGCTAGCAATTCCAATAGAGAAAGCATATGCGTACTCATGCTTTAAGGAGGATCGACAAAACAAACTACATGTAAACTAATTACTAGTCACTGTAATGGGATTCTTCAAATCTTCTAAGGAATTCAATCCCACTAATTAATGTCTGTCTGCGTCTTCCTCCTGACTTTGCTTGTGATACGCTAGCTGCTGCTGCTGCTGCTGCTTTCACTTTTCCCCTTTCATGTCACTCTGAGATTCTTACTTTGTTCTTCTGAGTTCATCAAGGGCCTTCCATCAACGTACGGATGGTCATTTTTGGATTGGATGATTTCCTAGAACCGAAAAGTAAGGGCATCTTATTTTTCTCAATTATACGAACTGTGGAGTATGGGGGGCAGATGAAGAACCACAGAGACTTATGTTTGCTTGAAAAGCAAAAAATCAATGTACTGATGGCTGATTCCCAAGAGACCCATAAGCCACTATTGAAAAAGAAGGCAGGAAACAAAATCAAAAAAGAAAAGTTGAGATGGGGGTCCTTAGAATATCTGCCTTTTTCTTTCCCTTTTCTTTTTAACGGTTTAAGGAGGAAGGTTGAGATTTTGTTCATCATTAATGCTACTTTGGCAGACAATTTTTTTCAAACTTGGCGGGACCCTTTGATAACATGAGAAAAACTCCTATGAGACTGTCACAATGCACCAGGCTTTCATAGAGATGGTGGCTAAAATTTGATCATATTTTGGCATTATAAAGCCTTCACTATGGACAGCTGCAGGATAAGTTATTTCTGAGGACTACATAGAAGTGGTAATAGAATTAGGCAAGTTACTAGAGACTTTTGAAGCGACATTCTTTACGAACTTCTCCCATACTACATTATTCAGGAATGAAACCTAATATCCTTGCCTTTGATCTGAAGGAAAGTACAAACAGCATCTGCATGCTAGGAATACCCTTATACGTTATACCTCCGGGAACACATACCTTTAGCCTTCTCATTTGTGTATCCTGTAACCCTGCTTGAAGAAACGTCGTAGTTCAGATCTCATCATCCATCTCTCTAGCTAGTTGTTCTTACATTGCGAGATGATAAACTTTCATTTATAACATTTATGTACCACTATCATGTTATACGAACTGACAGTAAGGCTAAGAAAGAGCATTTGAAATTGAAAAAGATAACTTAAAGCAACAAAAGTGAAAATGAGTAGGCTTTCAAAGCATGTGTCTATGTCTATGCTCTTGGTTATGACACTAGAGAATGATAGTGCACTCATTAGACAAGCAGATTCAATTGTACTAACTATTTGTGGCTCTTGTTTGATTGGCGTACATTGATATTTTCTTATGTGATTCAACTAAAACAAGAAGCGTGTCCGGACGGATGCAATGCAGTGAGGTGTGAACATCAAAACAGAAAAATTCATTGGTTCCGCAGTTTCTTTGGAGAAGGGAAACAAGGTAAGCAGTTGCAATACAAAGATCAGAGTTTAAGCCTTGCCCAATGATGCAGTATCAGGGGAAACTGCACCTTTATTTGATTGTTGTTGATTTAGCATACGGGTTGAACATAAGGGTAATAGTAGGAAAAGAAGAAAAATGTCATTATGGTAATCGATAAAGACTCTGCTGTCAAACATAAATTGCTACCTAGGGAAAGGAAATATATCATATTATGTATGTTGTGGCACTGTACAGCATAGAGTGAAATTCTTTTATTTTTATACAAAACATTCTGACTGGAATAGACAACAGCATCCAATGCTTAAAAGTAACTCTTAGCACCCTACTGAAGATTGTTTCTGGTACAAGGCAATGAAAATTAGCAGGGGGAAAGGGGGAAAGAACATAAGTTTGAAATTATTGATGGTAGCTGAACTGATGAACTCACCCTTTGGAATTCTTGTAATTCAAGGCCATTTAGTGAATTCAAACACTTTCAAAACTATCTCCCATCCAGTAGGTATTTGCCACATGAAAAGCAGAACATTTATCACATTCAACGTAATATGTAGGTTTCTGGCTGTCTCACTACCTTTTTGCATTGCAGGTGTAAGAGCCGCCGCCGCTGCCCACAGCACCGTGATCGCTGTTGACGAAGAAAAACCAACTCAGTTCAATTAAGCTTTTACTACTCAGATTTGGCAAATGATTTCTTTTATGTTATTTTATTTTGATTTTCCTAACAGATATCCAAATTTTACCTGCTCCTGCAAACAAATGGGGACCTGGAAATAGTTTTCCTGTCCTAAACCATGTGTTAACTCCTCCACCAATGGACTCGAAAACTCCGAAAGCCAACAATATTGAACCGGCATTGAAGTGTCTATCCCGGTAAGACCCTTTCACCAACTCCTTCCTTTCCTGATAAGGAAATGCCAACACATCATACACTCTCATGAAGTAAACATTCAAGAGATAAAACACTAGTTTATGCAGAAATGCCAATTTTTGCTTAACAGCAGAAAAAAGCATTGCACAAAATTTAATGTCAAATACATAAATGAAACTGATTTACAATAATACTAAAGTTACGTTGGCCAACCCTTCCATCTATTTTTTCCAAATTTAGCACATCAAATTCATCCTATGAAGGGTTTATATATACATGACCAAAACATGAAGTGCATTGTTTCTCAACCCACCAGAAGGAAGTTAATTCCATGGAAATAAAAATGCATACTTGGCATTAAGCATGCAATTCAATTGTTATACATTGCATTCAGAATATAATAATCCTGACCGTCAAATGCCTACCTCACTGAGCTGCTGAATTTTGAGTGCAAAAGGAGATGGTGGTTCTTCCACTGGTGTCCCCTCTGGTGTAACTGGGGTAGGCTTAACTTGCTTCTTGAGCTCATTAATTTCATTCTGGATTGTCCTGACTCTCCTCCATTGCCAACCCAAGTACCCTGCCCACAATGTGAATACAAACAGACTACCCATCGCAATGGGGTGTATCAAAGCAAATGTCCTTCCCTCCAATATTCCAAACTCCCCACCAACAGCAAGTGCATCCTAATCCACACCACAAATTGAAAAAATAAAAATAATAAAAAACCCAACTTTGAAATGGAAGAAGAACATATAAACAGGGGTAAAGTTCTGATTTTGAAATGCACGTACAAACTAGAAAATGAGAGTGAAATGAATTACTAAATTGTACTTGCCTTCGTGTCCAGTAAAAATGGCAATGTGGCAGCTGTGAGTGGGAGAGAAGTTGACTTCAGGTGGTGAATGGTGGTTGTGATGAGCTTTTGAGTACTAGCTGAGTCCTTGGCAATACTGGGTTTTTTTGGGATCGAAGAATGTTGAAGTTTTGAGAGACATTGCTTGGGTTTTGGGGGAAGAATAGGGAGTTTGAGGAGGCTGAGTGTGGCTGACATGCTCTCTTCCTCTGTTCGCGGGGTAGAGAGGGAGACAGCAGATTTCTAAGTGTAGGGGAAAAAGATAAGGAAAGGGAGATTGAAAGATGAGATTTGTGTCCATTTGGTTTGCTGTGGTTTGTTGATGTTGGCATATAATCTTTCACTGTTATGGAAGGAACGAGGCTGATCCACAGCCTCAGGATTAAAAATTGAACTGGGATGTGTTCGTGGCTTCATTAACTCTCAAATTCTGTTGTCGGTTTTTATTTTTTACCCTGTGGTTAAGAGTTTACTCTCACATTTATTTCGTCTTCTAACTAAAAAAAACTTTGAATTTGCTAGCGGGTAATTTAGTAAAAAAGAGTATTGACACTCATATTAGTGGTCTCCGGTTCAAACCGTAAGAACACATTGATTGTGCGTGTATGTGAGAAATTATCTTTCCTTAATTTAAATTATTGCTTAAACAAAAAAATTGAAAATAAACTTTGAATTTCCCAATGTGGGTTAAATCCCACATCTATTATACATTGTAGTTTAATGATATAAACAATCTAATTTTTAAGTCCTAAAATTATGCCATGTTACAAAACATTGATAAATCAAAAGTCATTTAACCGTTTTTAAAATCATGATTATTTTAACCAAATGGCGAACACCAATAATATTTGTTTGTCTATTTGAAAACAATTAGATGTGTGAATTGTTAGAAAAATTTCTCAGCTAAAGTATATTTGTGCATAATAACAGTTTCTCAACATACATATGTTAGACTAATTAGCCTATAAACTCAAATTCGAGTTTTCTTTCCCGTAAATTAGATTGAGTACCTATTTGGCATTACTTTTTTGGGGTGATAAGTGATTTTTTTTAAATGTTGGAAAGCCCAACCCGTTTGGTAAACTATGAAAAAATTACTTATTGTTAAAAATTGTTATGAAAGAAAACTATAAGGGAAAGTAGTTAATAAGGTGCTTTCATTTTCTGATCATGCAAGAATCAGTACTAACAACACTTTTAACAAAAAGTTTAGCAAACTGCTTTTTTTCACAATTGATTTCTCTCATAGCAAATCTGACAACAATTATTTTTACAGCACAGTAATGTCAAACTAGCCCTACATAGTTTAGATTATGAATTGTTTAAAAATTAAAATATATATACATAGAAATTGAAGATACATAGCTTTAGAGTGCTGCTAAATAAACCCTAAACTTAATTAGCTACACCTTACGATCTAAATACACCCTATTGTTTAAATCAAAATGTAAAATTAACTAAGTACACTCTATTTAACTACCAAAAATACTCATAGTACACCCTCTTTAATTTTTAATCTTTTAAAGGATTTAAAATAATATTTTAACAACTCTCTCTCTTTCTTCTTCTTCTTCTTCTTCTTTTTTTTATCTCTCCCTGTGCAACCACCACAACTTGGTTTCTGTTATCGATTGTTAAGTTTTATGCACACAAAAATCAACTTGGATCAATACACTTTTCCTGGATTCCGTGTTGTTTGTTAAAAATTAAGTCAATTTGTTTGAAAGCGTGAATTCAAAAGCTCAAGCACTAAAACAAAAATTTTAATTCTTAATTAAATATATTGTCTTTAATCTTTCGAGAGAAGATGTGGGTTTTCAATCTAATATAGGGAGATTTGGTAGTTTGGGAATTTGGGGACAACATATCTCAACTTGTCTCAGAGTGGGGTAGGGATGGCAACGGGTCGGTTAGGGACTAGGCATGGCAATACCATCCCTGTCCCCGCTCACCATCCTCATCCCCGTCCCCGCCCCAATCCCCGATTTAGGCTTTTCGGGGAATCCCCTTCCCCATCCCCGTCAGGGAAGTGCCTCCCATACCAGCCCCAATCCCCAGTTTTTAATAAGATATTTCTTGTTAAAATAATTTTCTAAAGCACAATCACATCATTGTGAAATTTTAAAGGGACATTTTAGAAAAAGCAAAAGGAGAGAGAAAAATTTTAAAAGAAGCAAAAATGGACAAAAATGCCCTTATTTATTTTTAGATTTCCTAAGGAATCCAATACATTTGCATGTCTTTGATTTGAAAGTTGAGCGGTTTTTTTATCTTTTTTGAAAAAGCTTTGGCTTTTGGAAGCTTTTTCCAAAAGTGAAAATTTTTTTATGTCTAAAACCTAAAAAACCTAATTTTAAAAACAACCACCACAAGATATTTCTTGTTAAAATAATAACTCAACAAGGCAAAAAAGGAGGACACAAAACTTGAAATAATTTCTATTCAAATCTTTAGAAATAAATCCATCTAGTCTGCAGGGTAATTTTGTTTATTATATTATATTAATATATATTGATTATAAATAAATATATTACTTATCGGGCCGGGTTCGGGGATGGGGATAACAATCCCATCCCCGGCCCATCCCCAGTCGGGGATTTTGCAAATTCGGGGATTCCTGTACCTGGCCCCGATTTCCCTCCGAAAACACCCCCGGTTAGGACCGGGGACCAGACGGGTATTATTGCCATCCCTGGAGTGGGGTGGGTCGGGAAGGGGAGAGAGCTTTTTTTCTCTTTTTGAAATTTTATTTTATTTTATGGTTTTAAATACTTTAAAAGATTAAAATTAAAGAGTTGACCATCGTTATAATGACATGTGTAAAGTCATAAGGAAGGTGTATATATTGGGGTAGATAATTCAATATATTATTTTTAGTCATTTTATATTAGGATAAATTAGTAATTCAATAAATAATTTAAGTATACTCAATTAATTTTAAGATTCAATTAATGCTGAAAATGTCTCCGACCCAATGTCTATTCACGGGTTTGGAAATCATGTGGTCCAAGTACAGAAACTATAGGCCCAATGAGATTTAGCAAGCTGAACTGGGCAAGCCCGGGCACCTCCTTGATGGGTCGAAAGCCTCATGCAAAGAACTTTTTTTTTGTGGTCGTACTTGGAAACCAAGAAAATCTACCGACCCAAAGAAACATCATGAATATCCAGAAAAAAGAAGGAAAACTTCTTACGACCGAAAAAAAGAAAGGAAAACTTCTAATGGTAAGATAAGTGCATATATAGCTATATCAAAACCGCGCATGCGATGTAACGCCACAATTTTTTGTTACCAAATGTGTTTTAAAAAAGGAAAAAAAATTTGAAAAAGAGTTCAAGTCCTTTAGATCAATGAAAGAATTTCAATTCAACTGCTTGGGACATGTTTCAATTTTTTAACGAATAGTCATCTTAGGAAAGTTGTGAAATTACAATTCAACTGAAAAAAGATTTGTTTCCTGTTTAGTTTCCTTCGTGGTTTTAGATTCTTATTTCAATTCCTACTTGGTTTAGGATTTTTTTTTATTTTAATCATATTTTCTACCCATGTAACCCTAGGTCATATGCATTATCGTGGTTTTAGATTCCTATTTCAATTCCTACTTGGTTTAGGATTTTTTTTATTTTAATAATATTTTCTACCCATGTAATCCTAGGTCATATGCATTATTGTAGTTTTAGATTCCTATTTTAATTCCTACTTGGTTTAGGATTTTTTTTATTTTAATCATATTTTCTACCCATGTAACCCCATGTCATATGCATTATAAATAAGACTTTTAGGGAGTCATATTATTTGTCTATGAGAGTATGCTACAAGCCAAATTTTGAGTGAGTGTGAGAAAACATCTACTTACGATCTTCAATCTTCAATCTTCTTCTTCTGGATTCTCACTGAAACAACAAAATCTTCTTCTTAAGTGTTTGAACGTATGGCTTCAGGTATGTTTTCTTAAAATCAAAATACTATTCTGTTCATGTCAATATTTGGTATTATGATATCTTACTTATGCATACATCAAATTATGTACATCTTTTTTAGGCCAACTGTTCAAACTTGATCTTTATTTTGCGTACTTCACTTAGATGCATAACATGACATGCCATGTTATCTCCAGATCTCATACTATTATTTACTTAAATGTATATTTAATTATGCATGACATGAATTGGTGGTTTTGGGCGTTTGAAAATATGCATTCAATACTTTTTTTTGGGTTTGTTTCATGCATAAAAACTGTTTATTTGTTATATAACTAAGGGAGAATTGTAGAGAGAATTGGAAAGTAGAGAAAGACAATAGAAATTGTTCAATCAACTTGTATATCTCATCTTGATAAGACCTCTTATTTATAGACTTACAATAGTAAGAAGACATTAACAACTCATAAGTTACAAGCTCATAATTATGGCATTTAGTGTATAGGTTACATAGAATTAGAAAGGGTAAATGCTAAGAGGTATGGTGGTCATCCACCAACTCTTGCATTTACAACACTCCCCCTTGGATGTCCACCATACAATGACATATTTGCCTCATTAAAAACCTTGCTCGGAAAACCCAGTGGGACAAAACCTAAGCAAAGGGAAAAAGAGTGCAACATTTTTCTGGATCATTGATATGGTGTTGGACGTGTTTATGCTGCCTCGTTAAAACCTTGATAGGAAAAACCGGGTGGGACAAAAATCTAGTCCAAGGAAAAAGAGTACAACGCATATGTCCTATATGTAGAAAATTGTTGAATATCCTCCCCTTGATGAATTACTCCCCCTGATGAGGACAAACTTGAATTGTTTGAAGATACAACACGAATGATATTTCTTGTAGCAGAGCAAGTTTTGGTAATGCTTTATATAAACATTTCTTCAATATCATCATTGGAGGATGTATGTGTATCATTCTTTTGAATCTTTGTTGAGGTTAGAGTAATACCAAAAATATTTAGACTATTTTCACAAATCCTTTCACATTAACAATTCTTAAAATAACATCATATTCTATAATATCATCAAAATAATAATATAAGCAAACTCATACGTTACCGTTACAAGGATAAGAGTATAAAATTGCATAATGTAATATGCTATTCATATAAAATTGTGTATATTATGCTAGCATGTCATAGGGTCTTCAAGAGAACTAAATATTTTGATAATTTCTTTTAAAAAAAATTGAATACGTTGCAACAATTTTGAAC